ATCTGGGACCTGACCGGTACCAATACTCCCGCGATGGAGATGTGGGTGCCTGCCGGCACCGCCCAGCCTCTGCCCCTCCGCTGAAGACGGCCACATGCGTCTTCGGTACGGCGACCTCGAGCCCCAGCAGTTGTATTCGGCGTACCACCACCGGCGTACTCCGCACCTCATTGGGCGCTCGGCGCGCCTCCCTTCCGTCGTCTGGTAGAGCACCACCCTGTCCTCCAGGTAGTGCTCCACCAGACGGCTGAGGGGGTATCTCGTGGTACCTCAGCGCCTCCCTGACGCTGTACAGCCTAAACGGCTTCATGGATTTTCACCCATGGAGTGTCGTTAAATTCGTCTTGATTGCGGGAGTGTCATAGGCTACCAAAATAATCAAAACAGTAAGGGGAGAATATTTTTTTTTATCTTTCCAGCTAAATTTTTTTGGACTCGGTTTTTGTTTTTTATTCAATATTTGTAAACTTGTTGTGCTCTACCAATCATATTTTATAACTTTATTGTAATGGACTTAGTTATTGCTATTTTGACACTAGACGGATGTAATACCTAGCTACCCGTAACATAAAGGATCTTAGTTTGGGAGCTAGGCACATCCCTGTACCAATTTTTCTGTATTTTGCAATAAATTTAAGTTATAAGTTTAAGTACTCGTATTTATATATTGCAATATCTCCAATGATGAATAAGTTACCACGTGAAACCTGGTGAAATCAGCAAAATGGCGAGCTTTTTACAAAAACAAGCCAAATAACCAAATTTCGCTGCAAAAAATATGAACGCCTATAGAATTCAATTACATTTCATTTAATAACAGTGCCGAAGAAAATTCTTCGACACAATTGCCAGTTATTGTTTTGTATCTATTAGTGAAAAATAAGGTCTTGTCATTTTGTAACTATTCGAGCATGTCTACTTAAATATGTATATACATATTATATTTCTCAAATATTATACATATCGCAGACGAGGTTTTCCCATTACGCAAATTTATGTTTGATCCATTAATTTTAACATTACTTATTACATTACATAACAATTAAATTTAATTTTATTAACTGAAAATTATTATTATTAATGGAGTAAATAATTAAAAATTAAAAACTTCCATTACTAATAAAAGTATAATTAGAATTAACTTATTTATATTATAAAAATACAGTGTTCGCTTACATTGTAGCACGTATCGCATACTGTTTTGACAATTGTATTGGCCGAATCGCTCACTCTCATAAGAAAATACCAACGTCTCTTTCGTATTATGGTGAAAAAAATCATCTACTCTATTCACTGCAAACATGCCAGACGCACTACTCCGCCAGTGAAGCCGCAGCCATAGCACGAAATGCATTATTGTAATAAACGAAAGGTATAGTGAAATCAATGTACATAGTTGTTATCGTTATTCGTTAGGAAGATTTCGACATCAGCGTTAGCCCATTGATGTGGATCCCTTTTCATTCCATCTTTTAGGCTTCATTTTTTTTCTATATTCCTATAAATTTCGAATGAATGCGACGTTGCCAAATCATAAATATTGTATTTGTACTTTAGTACCAGCTAATATTAACTTTCCTGATTTAATATGTGTCAGTATTCAATCTGCTCACGATTTTAAACAACTTCAGGGAGCGGGTGTGGGGTCATAAATTAACCCAAGTTAACAAAACAGGAACCTTTAACGGACCGTAACTTGCTTGCTTAATAAACATTCATATTATAGTTGTGGTTGTTGTAAAAACAATAGAATTACAAATAGTAAAATTCAGTTTAAACGTATGATGATGTAAACGCGTTGAATGAGATACTTTCATTTTATATTCCCATAAAAAATCGTTTAACAAATTGACGTAACTCTCATTATGTGTCAAATATTGAATACTACACAGTAAATTCATTTTTAAGTACTTGAGCTTTTGATTGAGTTTAAAGTACGATGTTGCTTTTAACATAATCAAACACTTGTGGTAAGTGTTGCTGTTTTTAGGGTTTATTGCGGTTTTTATTGATATTGTGAGTGTTGAGGCGCAACGAAGGCGGGCTTTCACAGACTCGCTTCGTAAAATATACCGGAGGTCATTTGAAGGGCGCCTTTCCCCAGCTACATGGGACAAGAGCTAATTTGAATATTCGTGTCCGTTCTTTTTTTATAGGGTACATTAATAACCTTATTTAATACTTACTTTATATTGGTAGAAAACCTGAGTTGTGCAATTTATATGCAAATACAATATGTAAGGCGTTTCGCTTTTTTCATTTTAAATAGGTAGAATATCTCTCTGCAATCAACGCACAAATTATGAATAATTATTGCACACGCTTTTAGCCCCGCACTCGGAAAACCCTGTGTCGGGCATGGGCCGTGGGTGCCATGACAACTAATGAGAAATAAATGTACGCCATACAAATATTCCTCTGGGTCCTCTGACCTAAGCCCATGTTTTAATAGTTTTGATAAAATTAAACTTATCAGAGCTCTAAGGCAAGGCACCCATGATTGATCCAGAGAACCGTTAACTTGTCGAAGTTAAAAATGTCTTTAGAAAATAAAACTTTAGTAATTAAGTACTATTTATTTAATGTATGCTATGAAAAGTGTATGCAAACTTTAGTAAAAACACTAGAGGCAAAACGTGACTTCGTCAACTGGAGTCTTTTCGACTTACTGTAGTGAATGCTTGCGTAAACTTTTGACTTTGAGGGGTTGTTTATGACGGCTTATGAAACTCTTGAAATTTTCTTCACCTGGCTTTTTAAAAGTAGTTAATTCTTGCATTTTGATGTTCTGTCCTTTCTCGCGATAAAAGCGACAAACTGAAGTTAGTGGGATTTTAACTTGCTCAAAACGGGTCTGACAGATTCGTGATAAATGTGCACGCGGTAACTGAAGATGGAACTTGAACCTTTGCTTTCTCTCTGATATTTTTACACGAACCTTTACTTTTCGATATGTCATATCTGGGATGGATTGTTAGATATTAAAGTATTTCTTGCATATTTCTCAGTTTCAGATGCTCTAGATTAGATTACAAACTTCTTTTTTCTATTTCTTTCAATTTTAAACTAAGTGACGAGACGAACAAGTAGTGCGCCTGGTGGTAAGCGACACACCTGTCAGCAACAGTTGCAGTACCACTCAAAACTTTAAATCGCAGAAATGTAACGCACTGCCACTGCGCCCGTCACCTTCCTTCAGAGCCGGAACGCATAATGCTCACTAATGTGTGCCTATTTCTGCCGTCAAGCAGCAATCTTCTTGGCGGTGGCAGTACTTCTCTGGACGAACTCTTTCTCAAGGCGCGCTACTGCTTACTAAAACTTCTCAAAAATTTCTTTAATTCAATTGACAACGAGCAATTTTCTTTTATTAACATAACCAAAACATAAACAAATTTCTTTAATTCAATTGGCAAGGTAAACTACATGAGGTAAAAAAAAACTTCATCACATTGAACCATTCTGAAAAGATTACGTGTTATCATTTTATTATGGGTTATTCAACCATTGCCAATTCAGGAGTCAGAGTCGGGACTCTAAACGATATAATTTAGCTGTTAATTAACTTTGGTGCACAGGATTTTAAACTGTGCCTTTGGTATTAAGTACCTACTTATAAGGAGTAATAAGACGCAAATGGAACTTATAGCCTTTATTTTCAAGTTTATTTCATTCCTGCGAGGCTTGCAGATGGAATTTGAACGAGTTTAGACTGTCAATTCGATATCTTCCCCTGGTTTTCACAAAAATGTCTTAGAGATAAATGAGATAGATTGCAGCGTCTTTATGTGGCAAACAATTTTACAGTATACGATCTTCAATTCACCTATTAAGCGTAGCAATTATATAATATCCTCCTACATTGAAGTTATCCATATAACGCTTACAAATAAAGATTCATGTGAAACTAATGCCCACTTACATTAAACTTAATTACTTCTTAAACCAATGGTTAAAATGATAAGACACAATCAACACAATTTATTAAGAGTATATGTATATAGAAAGACCACAGCTTAGAACTTAGATGTCGCATAGAGCAAGCCAGGAGAGCTTTTATTAAAATGAGCTACGTCCTTTACCATCGTAGTCTCAAACTATCGACAAGATGCCGTTTAGTGTGGTACTACATGTTTTCATTTTTTTCTGTACGCAGTAGAAGCATGGACTCTAACTAACTCAAACATTATGTAAACGGTTAGAAGCCTTCGAAATGGGGGTTTATTGAAAAATTTTGAAAATACCGTGGACAGATAGAGTCACCAATGACAATATATATTCATGCAGCTTGAAGCTCCTGAAAACAGTAAAAAGCAGGATGCTGTGGTACTTCGGGCACATAATGAGGAGTTATAAATACTCTCTACTGCAACTTATTCCCCAGAGAAAAATCCAGAGTCGCAGAAGACGTGGTCGTACAAAAGTACCACATAAGTACCACAGAACTGTTCCGAGCCTCAACTTCACGGACCCAAATGCCACCCTTTGAGATTGAGATGGCAATCCAAGAGGAAGAAAAAGATTAAGACTATCTTTTGCATTTTAAGCATTGCTTCAAAACGTACCAAGTTTAGTGCAAGTGGACATTCGTGTCTATCTATTTGTTAGAATTCTATATTGACAGGATTTCATCAACTACGGTGATAAGTTTAATTTTTAAAGAAATTATAGTTATAATAATAATCAACTTCGTTCAATGCTACAATATCCCAAGTTAGGTACTGGGTCCTTGGCTCATACTAGCGACTTTTTATGGGTATTACCTACTGTAACAACTGTTTATCACAGCACAACTTGACATAGGTTATAAATATACCAGTAAGAAACAACTAACATTAGCGGAGATTTAATTTGGGTAGAACCACCGTGGTCCACGAATTCTCCATTTACCTAAACTTAATATACAGTTTTACAGGGTTTTTGCAAAAAGTGGTAGTTTGTATACTTCGGTTTACCAACGTATTGCGTATCAATATTAAGCACATTTTTAATTGTTCTAGAATTCGTCTGAGCAACTGCATGGGCCTAGGAGAGAGGCCTTACAGCCCACCGTGGTGGGGCCAATTTGCCTGGTTCGTAATCTTCGCTATCATGCTGCTTTTTGCAATACTTGGGAACACTTTAGTTATTTGGATTGTACTAGGTAAGTTGAAATTTACTTATATTTATTTACTCTTTTCGACGTAACTCTTACTTAATATTTCTATAATAACAATGATGTTTGTTAGTTTAATACTGTACTTTTTCAATTTCATCATTTCGAATCTGAGCTTGCACCTCTGACATTTTCAGAATTTATGTGCGAATAATAATAATAATAACAATAATAACGCGCACACACACTCATGACCTCGTACTAGGGAGACCTGTATCGCGGGTGCCATGGACACACACATAGACAACCAGAAATCACACCCAAACTCACGAGAATCGAACCCGGTACCTCTGCGTGGCAGTCCAGCATGGTAACCATTCGGCCACAGAGGCAGCAGGCGAATTGAAATGTTTGGTATTCACCATGAGCGGTGCAGTCAACTATGAAACCTCTGGAAGGCAATTGAATGATGTATGTGAAGTTTCCAATGCTAATTGTCGTGTGAGTGGGAACTACAGCCCAAACCCTCTCATTGTGAGAATTGGCCTGTGCTCAGAAATACAACATAATATTACGTATATAGGCTAAATATAATTTATTATTATAGTAATTTCATGAGTTTATTTTCAATATTGAATCGATGTTACTAATTTTGTACAGCGAATCAAATGGAAATAGCCTAAACAATCTGTTGTGCATTTGTTTAGCCATAACCTAAACGGTGATGGGCAAGTAATCCTGATAAATCAATGACAGCTACAAACTATTTGCTGAAGTATAAATCATGCGATATCATATTACTTATATTATGGCAAAAACAAATTTCTATATTCTACTGAAATAATCGACGGAGATTGAAAACAATCAGTAAAAATTTCTAATCAATTCGAAATGAAACAATGTTTCGAGTTCCTTCCAATGATAGTTATAAAGTAAAGAAAATATTTTCTTTATTTATATAAAATGTTTGCTATTTCCTTCGGTTAATACGGTTGCTTAGCCTATATATTAGTCCCACTGCTGGGTACAGATCTTCTTATAATAAGAGGGCTCGGGCTGTTTGCTGGTTTCATCATGATATTTTCCTTCACCGAACAGTTCATGGTAAATTTCAAATTAAATTTCAATAAATTCCGAAAATCTCAGAGGAGTAAGTCGGGTTTCGAACCCAACACCAAGCGATGCGGTAGGTCAACCCATCAAGTAGTCTGAAGCACTGCTATAAAATATATAATATATAATATAGTATTTTATAAATATAGATTACATATATTTATAAGAAACTATTGATTGTACAGAATTACTCTTAAAATGGATGTGTGTACATTTTGACTTGGGTATTTGAATAATAGTACAATATTCTTTTGATTGCCAGCTCATCGTCGTATGAGGACAGTGACAAATTGTTTTCTGGTAAACTTGGCGGTGGCGGATCTTCTTATGGCAACTCTGAATGGAGCTCCGAACTTCGTGTTTCTGGTGACAGCTCACTGGCCCTTCGGGGCTGCAACGTGCACTGCCAGTAACTTCACAGCGAACCTCACCGTTTCTGCTGGCGTCTTTACTCTAGTGGCTATTACTGTAGATAGGTGCGTATACATTTAAGTATCGGAAATCGTTAGTCCCTATGCGGTTTTCTACGAATTTACAGCAACCGTGTTACGAGATTTACAAACCACAATTTACGAACTTTCACATACAAATTTGCGTAATTTAGTGTTGGTATCTTAAATACGAGTAAATACATGCATACAGTGAAATATTTATGCATATATTTTTGTCTTGATTTAAATGTTTTAGATAATTAATAAATTAAATGTTGAGTGTGTGCGTGTCGTCTAATGCAAAGGTGTATGCAATAGAGCGGTGCGACACGGTCGATGCGTAGTCATCACGTCGTCGCGTCGTCTCGTAACGCTCTATGATTTGCTCCTACTGAGTGTCAGTGGTTCAAGGTTTGCGCGTACATTGCGCGCAAACGTGTGTCCTGTGTTGGAAATACAACAATATTTTTTAAGGTCCAATAGTGTTAGTAACTTGCAAATATAACTTAAAGACTAGGTTAGTGGTAATGATAATAAATAGTTGCACAAAAATTAAATTATAAAAAGTGGCAGCCGACTCTCAGATCTCTCCCCCGCATCCAGACCTAATAGTCTCTAGTGAGACTATTCAATCAGGACCTGAATGAAATATTTCATAATGGGTAGGTCATTTTCTATCAGGTGTGATCTGTAAAATGATGTTGGTGCTGCCCCTCAGGTTGCTGAGCAATGAGGCTGTTTTTTTGCGGATAAAGGCATTAAAACCATCAACTCGTTCCTCTGCAAACATGGTAGATGCACTGCAAAAGCGGGGCAACCCCATCAACATTCTAAACCCATTATTGTATGTGACTCGTAGGGACTAATCGATTTTTTAGTATAACTGAACCACAGGCTGCTCGTAGCGTAGACTGCCAGTAGGCTTCGAAAAGTGTAATTTTTAGTTGCTTATTACATCGAGCGAACCGGCGTGCCAGCTTATTACTTCTGATCGCCAATGCCCTACGTTCCCTCTCTATATCGACCTGGTCATCAAGGTCGTCGGTTATATAATGCTCAAGATATTTAAATTGGTACACTTGATTCAAATCAAGCACCATGCACTCCAATTGCCTCCGTGGCCGAACGGTTACCATGCCGGACTGCCACGCAGAGGTCCCAGATTCGATTCCCGGACCGGGAGAAATATTTGTATGGCCTAAATTTATTTCTCTGGTGAGTTTGGGTGTCATTTGTGGTTATCTATGTGTGTGTCCATGGCACCCGCGACACAGGGTTTCCCTAGTGCGGGGATAGCCCCGTTGAGAGTGTGCGTTATTATTATTATTATTACTTACTGGCGGCCTTAAAGACCATGTACACACTTTTTTGCCATTGTGTAACAGCCCATGTTCACCAGCGTACTTCTCACAGATACCAAGCAGTCTTCTGAGTGCCTTGACCGAAGGGCACAGTAGCACCATTTCGTCCGCATAACGGATATTATTAATACATACAGTATCAATCGAACCACCAATACGTTCACTGCTTAGCCCCACGATCAGGTCATTGATATACAGGTTGAAAAGCTTCGGAGAACTCAACCCACCTTGTCTCACTCCGCACTCCAACCCGTAGTCACAGAGACACAGCTAGAGCATCTCACACTGTTTTCGAGATCTAAGTCGCATATTTTTGTTTTTTCTAACAAACCATAGTTTCAGGTCCCATGGTAAGCCATAACTATTACGTGATCTGTAAAGTGCCCGAAATGTTGTGAAATTTGAAACAAACAAATATTCGCGATTAAGATACGAAAAAAATACTTTCATTTCCATTGTATTTTGTGAATAAATTGACACTTAAAAATAGGAAGAAATATAATAAATTCTAGTAGAAATGTGAACAGGTACTACTGCAATTATTAGGTAATAATATAACAATTAATTGAAACTGGAAATAGCTTTTAAAAAGAAGACATCTTACAGTTGTTTGGTAAATAGTGACGCATCGAATAAATCTACAAACACACTGCAGTCCGCGCCTGAGTCTTATGCTTTGTCTTAAAATAATTCAGCACTGCCTCAGTCACGTGTTAATACTCACTGTACATATTAAAATTGTGTCTTTGGAATGCATTTTAATAATGTGCCATAGAAGCTATTTGCGCTGCTACATTGTCTTTTACGACGCAAGGAGGCTCGTATGCTTGGCAAGTTTTTGAAAATGAAAATTCCAATTTCGAGAACATGTATATCATTTATATTAAACTCTTTTTTTAGTTATATTTTACCGTTATATAGTATTTATTTCTTCAAGCGGGCATTATATTATATATTTTTAAGTACAGATAAGTATTTTGCACAATGTTCGGTTTTTAATCCACGTGACTTCATAAATTACAAAATGAAATGGCATCGTCTGCATAGTTTTAAACAACTTCAGTTGCGAAGCCTTGGTATCTTGATTTTTTCAATTTTTCTTGTTATTTAATGAGTTTGTCCGTCGTTGTTCACTTTTTTCGTAAAGAGCATACATAATCAATGACGATTCAGCCTGACATCAAGAGAATCTAAAACAAATCAAATGTTAGGTGAAATGCAAATAAAATTCAAATTTGTTTTTTTTAAATGGAATTTAAAATTTCTGCAGTAAAGTTATAAAAAAGTGAGTTATATTTGTCTGTGATAAAGATACTTCGAGAATGCTTATTCGACTAATAAGTTCAGTAACTAAAATGTAAATGGAAAGGCCAAAAATAATTTATTATTATTTAGGAATTACATTAATGCTGACATTCGCATTAAATTGTGTGACTCATTAGTTCTCTCACAATTTAATTATATGGATGTGGTGTATGGATCGCGGCTGTTGAAGCGCAC